GAAATCGCTAGAAACTACGACGGACACAGGATGTGAGCAAGTTTTATTGATTTCACGCGTAAAATGTTCATATCTCGAAATATTTATTGTTGTAAATCGACCACATTTCGTTCCCCATACTATTCCTTATAACGTATTCAAATTTTCAACAGTTCCCTCGTTACTTAACACCGAGTCACACAACGCGGTCTTGAACTGACCTTCTAAAGTTTTTTCGAGTCAAATCACTTGTTATTATAATCAATCATTGGCTTTTTCTCGAGACGTGAGCTTGGGCCGCCTGTGGTCTTTCTGTGAACTACATTACCTCAGATCAGTAATTTTCTGATACAATTTACGGCAAGTATGACGGCTGAATAAATCAGTTAAGGTGAGCATAAGTAGGTGTACTTTGTTAAATGAAACTGGCCGCGACTAATTGCTAATGCCCGTCACTCAAGATGTCCTCTGAGCTAATAAAATCACTTGCTAACATTCCAACAGAGTTTTCAGTCCGTACTGAAATAATCGTAAGTTTAAATAAAAAACCTCGTATCATGCGATAATTTATCGATAAACACCTCAGGCGCTCGGGAGCAGCTGGCTAAATTATCTAAGAGTTAACCCACGCGCTTTCCGTGCATTTTACGCCTGATTCTGTGGACGATGGGAATTTTGTAAACATCATCAATGCAAGCTTGCAACACAAATGACTTACCTTTCTAACGCTTGAGTTCGAGTCTTATTCTTCGAGGAAAAATGATGGTGTTTAGTAGACCAGCAAATTGTCCATTATAGCTTCGCTTCCAGGGTCCTCTCCACTCCTGGGAACGAGGTTACGATCGTTTGGAATTACCGGAATGGTCCATACCGTTTTTCACTCTGGAACACAGCCTACGGATATAGCTTTCTTATACCGACAAAAATCGATATTCTACCACATTTTCGGGCCTATGTTCTATCTTAACTTCTTAGACACGTACTGTAGGATGAAAAACTTCCTTTACTGAAAATTCATTTGGATGATCGAAAGGCAAATGTGTTAATAAAGGTATGTATTATTTATGAAAAACAACGTTCTGAGAAAAAACTTTAAATCGATTGCATATGTTGAAGGCTGTTGCTTAAAAGGTACGAAAAACTACCCATTCCGCTTTTGTTGTTGTTTTTTCCTCGTGTTGTGTATCAGGGTTCGTTATATACTACTAGAGAGTAAAGCGTGCACAGACCAAGTGCTCTACACGACTGCTCTATTAGAATGTCATGAATTTAATCACACACAATGATCCGTGAGCATAATCACGTGACTGCAGTCAAAAGTGTGCTAACCAATAGAATAAAGATTATATAAGAGCTAAGGTATTTATCCAAATAGGAACAAACATTACATTCCCCCACACTTATTTCAAAGGCTTGGTAATCAGTTACACTAATCATTATGTATTAAATCCTAAACGCTGCGGTGCTTTACGCTGTCGAATTGGATAGCGTGTTTGAGGTTGAGGTTGCGCTGTCGCGGCTGCGTGCGTACCGTCATCGTTGTCATTTTCGCTACCTTTGGTTTCATTTGGTTTTAGCGTGGCTTTTTCCGCGGTTTCCGCTTGCAGAGGCGTTACCGGTTGGATATCAGTGGTATCGTTTGAATGTGTTACACTGATTTCTGGTTTACTATCTTTGTTGCTTAAATGCTTTTGGTGCATTTGGTCAACATGGCGCTTCCAAAGTTGTTCTCCGACTAAAACTTTATAGGAGACGGGACCGGTCTGCTCCGTAACGGTGCCATCAAGCCACTTCAGCTCACCACGGAAGTTTTGCACCAGAACTTCTTCACCAAGGGTGAATTCTCTTCCTTTACTGATCTTATCGTATCTGGCTTTCTGATCCGTCTGCCGGTCAAATACTTTCCGACCGAGGTCAGGACGCATTAAATCTAACCTCGTTCCTAATCGACGATTTAGGAACAACGCGGCTGGTGTTTGGCCTGTAGTACTATTTGGTGTCGTTCGGTAACTGAAAAGAAATCGCGCTAAACTTTGCATAATCGAGTCGCTCCCCTCCGCCTTAAAAAATTCCTTGAACGTTTGAACAAAACGCTCTGCCTAGCCGTTGGATCGAGGGTGATACGGAGCAACAAGTGCGTGCGTGCTTGATTCCGTTTGCTTTCATAAATTTACAGAATTCTTCCGAAGTGAACTGTGAGCCATTATCACTCACGAGTTGTTGTAAAATGCCATACCGAGAAAACATATCGCGAAGCTTTGCGATTGTCGCTTCACAAGTGATGCTGGGCATTATCTCTACTTCAAACCATTCTGAGTGGCTATCGACGACAATTAGAAACATTTTACCCATAAATGGGCCTGCAAAATCGATGTGCACTCTCTGCCACGGCATTTTGGGCCAATCCCACGGGTGTAAGGGTGCCGGTTGGGGCTTGTTACGTGACTTCTGACAGTTGTCGCATTTCCGTACAATCGTGGCTATATCTCGGTCAAGATTAGGCCACCAAACGTGAAGTCGCGCAAGTGACTTCATACGGACAATACCTGGGTGCCCAGTGTGTAATTCATATAGCACACGCTCGCGAAGCTGGCTGGGAATTATCACTCAAATTCCCCACAATAAACAGCCATCTTCGACTGTAATTTCGAGACGCTTGCTAAAATACAGTGTAATTTGCTTATCTGGCCAACCTGTCATCACGTACTGTAGTACTCTTGACAAAACCGGATTGATTCATGTCGCTCTGCGAACTCGATCGACATTCATTGGAAAAGACTCGATTTGCAATAAGTTGATGATTCTGACCTCATCGACTTCTTCGTTTGCTTTGTCGCTGTGTATCGGCAAGCGGGATAAACAATCGGCGTTCGAACGATGCTCGGTATCATACTGGTGTGCGGCGGGCAGTAATACCCATCTTTGTAATCGTGCAGCTGCCAGAGTTCGAATACCGCTCTTCGGTCCTTCAATGTGGTTAACGGTTTGTGATCTGTAACTAAAAGAAATTTTCTTCCGTACAAATATTGGTGAAACTTCTTCACTCTGAAAATAATGCTGAGCGCTTCCTTTTCGATCTGCGCGTAATTACGCTCGCTTTTGGATAACGTACGCGAAGCATAGGCAATCGGTTTCTCTTTTCCGGACGGTAATATGTGCGAGATTACTACGCCGATGCCATAGTGTAAGGTGTCTGTGTCGAGTTTTAACGCTAATTTCTCGTTAAAACGTGTTAAAACGAGCGCGCTGGACAATTTGTCTTTGAGTTAATTGAACAACTTTTCCTGTTCTGTGGACCATTTCCATTCGACTCCGTCTTTCAGTAACTCGTTTAACGGATGGGTGATAGTCGAATAGTTACTGATGAATTTTGAATAATAATTGATCATTCCGAGGAATGACCTCAACTGATGCTGATTTACGGGTGCGGGAGCCTCTCTTATGGCTTCGACTTTTTTCTCGATCGCATGTATTCCTTGTGTATCTATTCAATAACCTGGATATTCAACGACTGGCTGAATGAATTTGCATTTGCTAAGGTTTAACCTCAAGCCAGCGCGTTCTAACCTCGCTAAAACTTCATTCAGATGAATTAAATGCTCTTGATCGTTTTTCCCCGATATTAAAATATCGTCCACCCTACAAACGACCATTGGTATGAGTGGGTCTATATACGAGTGGGTCTATATAAACCCTTGTGAGTATTTATGGTAACATGCTCCCTAGAATCCTCATCCAAAAGAATTTGTTGGTAAGCCCTGGATAAATCTAGCTTACTGAATTTTTCTCCCCCACTTAATTCAACAAATAATTCTTCGGGGTTTGACAACAGGTGTTGGTCAACCTCCAAAACAGAATTGACGGTGATTTTATAATCCCCACAAACTCTAATTGAATTATCCGGTTTAACGACAGGAACTATCGGTGCCGCCCACTCTGAGTAGCGCACCTTTTCGATTACTCCCATATTTTCTAGGCGATCTAATTCTTGCTCGATGGTTCCGTTTAAAGCATATGGAACTTGGCGCGGTTTGAAAAACTTCGGTTTTGATTCGGGCTTGACGAATAGTTTAGCCTGAACGCCTTGCATAGTACCTAACTCATCTTTGAATAAAGATTTATGTCTCGATAACATGCTATCTAAAACACAACTTATCTTCTTGATGGATCCCCAATTTAACTTAATGTTCTTTAGCCAGT